CCCCTTGGTTTTAAAGTTTCACTGGTGGAAATTCCACTACTACTTCTGATTTTGGTTTTTATTCATCAAAAGCAACATGACCAGCAGGTCAAAGTAGGTGATCCTGCACCTCTACTCGGCTCTTGTGAGACCTCACTTGGAGTACTGTGTGCAGTGCTGGTGTCCTCAGCATAAGAAGGACATGGAGCTGCTGGAGCAAGTCCAGAGGAGGCCATGAGGATGATTAAAGGGGCTGGAGCACATCCTGTATGAAGACAGGCTGAGAAAGTCAGGACTCTTCAGCCTGGAGAAGGGAAGCTGCATGGTGACCTCATAGCAGCCTTCCAACATCTGAAGGGGGCCTACAAGGTTGCTGGAGAGGGACTCTTCATCAAGGACTGTAGTGATAGGACATGGGGTAATGGATTTAAACTTAAACAGGGGAAGTTCAGGTTGGGTATAAGGAAGAAGTTCTTTATTATGAGAGTGGTGAGGCACTGGAACAGGTTGCCCAGAGAAGTGGTGAATGCTCCATCCCTGGCAGTGTTCAAGGCTGGGGTGGACAGAGCCTTGAGCAATCTGGTCTAGTGTGAGGTGTCCCTGCCCATGGCAGGGGGTTGGAACTAGATGATCTTAGGGTTCTTTCCAAACCAAACCATTCTAGGATTCTATGATTCTAACAAATATTTACTTACATTCACCAACCAGTATGGAGTGTCACCTCTTCTCTTGGCACACTGGTCCTGCAAGCATCCTTGACTACGAAACCACCACACATTCAGACAAGTGCACACCATGACCTCCAAATGTTTTTCAAGTCATTCTGCCCAGATCACTGTCCTTTTGATCTTCAGTCCTCCAATATTTTTCTCATTTGCCCATCCAGCCTATCAGCAATGACTGTACACTTTATTCTCCTGGTCATGGAAACCAATGTTAAGAGCACAGAACCAAGGCTTGAACACTGCAGGACTCGGCTTGAGAACACCCCCTACTCACTGACCATCTTTTCCCACTCGTATTGAGTACAACAAGCAAAACAACTTTTTCCCAATCTGCTATGTGCTGTATTGATTATTTTCTAAATTATTCAATGCTTATAATAAATGCATTATGCCAACAATATTGCTTTATTAATCTCATAAAAAAAGATACAAGCTGAGTCTGACTACACCACATTGCCCAATGCCTATGCTTGATTGGCAGGAGTTACCTTTTTATTTACTGATCAACAAAATATCTACTGCTCAGTTATTTTATTCACCATCCAAGCCCTGCTGCTAAATACAATGTGTCAGAGATTGCCCTGTTTGACTCCATTCCCCACACCCACACCCATCCCCCACTGCCTTGGAAAAAGAAATGAGATCATATGAATTCTCTTCCAGTGCTCCAAGACATATCAACAACCAGCAATAAGTATCCAAATTAAGAAACTCTTTCAAAATTCAGTTTGGACTACGAACACAGGCAGTGCAGTTGTACATCCTTTTGGATTATCTCCGGAAGGCAGCATTGCTCCATCGCTACACTGCACAGCTGCAGCACCCTGCCAGACCAAAACCTGGAAACCATTCCCTAGTAACTTGTAAACCAGCAGTTTACATTCTTTACTACCAATTGTTGTGTTTTCTCCTTCTCTTGATGACTAAAGCTGTTTTTTTTCCCTTCCAAGCCTTGTTTTCCCTGGAACATTCGGCCACGTATTCTTAAACTGTTCCTAGTCATTAATATTTTAGTTTTTTATTTACTCAGCTGAAGTTGGATCCAGCTTTGTGAGACAGTCTCTTCTAAAGCCTGTGTTAGATGTTGACGCACACCTTGTTTACATGAAACAAATGTAATCAAGTCATGACCACTGACACCTAAACAGTGACTCATTGTGGTCCTGAGCAATTCCTCTTTATGAGTTAAGTTCTATTAAAAAAACCACTGCTGGCTATGTCACTTTTCACACTTAAAAAGTAGGGGGGAGAGGGGTTGTCTGCCCTTTGGAAAAAAAAAAAAAACCAACAGAATTTTTATCTGTTTTACATGGTATCACTTACACAGAAAACTCTAAAGGTTATCATATATAAAAACCCCAGTAGGTCTTTTTTGACCTGTGTTAATTATATTTCCATCATAGAATGGCTTGGGTTGGAAGGGACCTTAAAGCTCATACAGTTCCAATCCCCTGCCATGGGCAGGGACACCTTCCACTAGAGCAGGTCGCTCCAAGCCCCATCCAACCTGGCCTTGAACACTGCCAGGGACGGGGCAGCCACAGCTTCTCTGGGGAATCTGTGCCAGTGCCTCACTACCCTCACAGGGAAGAACTTCTTCCTAAGATCTCATCTAAGCCTCCCCTCTGTCAGGTTAAAGCCATTCCCCCTTGTCCTGTCACTACATGTCCTTGTAAAAAGTCCAGATTTCTTGTTAGCCCCCTTAAGGTACTAAGGTCACAGTAAGGTGTCCCCAGAGACCTCATTACATTCATGTGATTTAGTGTATGACATAAATCATCTACTTACATTATTTTTACACCAGACCATTACTGGTTGTTCCCAGAGCTGCCCTTGTAGTATTAGGCAGAATTTCCCAATACTTTGGTTTCTTAGGGCACACTTTTTTTTAAATTTAAAGTTGGCAGCATCAGCAGATGTCTCCAAGTTGTCCTGCTGCTGCCAGGAATGTCCGGGCAACAGTCCCAGTCACTGCAGAGGATGTTGCACCATACCCTAACCTGTATGTCCCCAGGGCCATATGCTCCTGCCAGGCTACCTGGGGTACCCTCAGCCCCCTCCTGCCCAGCAGGACCCCATGAGCATCTCCCCAGCAGCTCCCATCATGCTACCTCATGCGACTGGGCACAGGAAAAAGGCAATGTTGTGTTTGTCGAGGCAGAGGCTGTTACCAACTGGAAGCAAAACCGAACTTCTCTACCAGCACCTTTAAAAGCACAAAATACAAAAGTAAGCCCCCTAATTCTGCCTTCACCTTTCTCTGTCCAGCTGAGGATTGAAACTTCTTTGATCCATTAATAAATTAATGCGTCCTAGCAAAAGAAAGAAGTAATTCATCAAACTCAGCAATCTGTGTCAAAAGTAAAACTTTGGCTAGTAGCTTTGGGATCAAGTTCTGCAGCCCCCCTTCATGCAGGCAGGTACAGTGCCACTGCTGGAATTGTTTTCATACACTCTACTTAAGCAATTACCTATTTTATTTTTTTTTTTTAAGTAGAAGCAGTACATTGTAAACTGCTAGTTTTCTCTTGTGAATATTAGTGCATTTCAACATGGAAGCAGCACAGAAAAGATCTAAAAAGAAAAAATGTGAACAGATTCATGAGCTGATAAGATTTTAAACATGAAATGGTTTTTTGTGAGGCTGAGCAACACCCTTACTACAGAAAATCCAGAGGTAAAGCTGAGCGACAAGCTCCATGACACATCCTGGCTAAGGCATGGAGCTGATTCTGTCGACAATGTTCAACTCTGTCCAGTGGGCTTGATACACTGTTCATTTACAGCAGAGCCTAGACTTCAGCTCTGAATTGAACAGGATCATAACAAGAATTTTGGTTGGTTGGTTTGGGTTTTTTTTAAGAGTGTAATTTCACAGAGAAAATCAGCACAATTCTATTCCATTAAATCAGATCATCTCCCCTCACTGTACAGGACTACAGCAAGCATTACAGAAGTTTATAAATATTCAGTGATGCAAGAACTGCAGAAAACAATCACACAGCTAAGCAGAAATCGGTAAAGCTCAGAATTATGTGGTTAAGGAGTTCAGCATTGCAACTACTCTGCCATGTCAAGTTATGGGTGATCTATGCTTTTCACAAAAGAAAGCCAACACCAGTGTTTTCTCACACTACATAAGCTTTGCAATTCTAAGCTTTGCAATTCTCACCTTTGCAATACTTTGACAAGCTAGCCTCCAGCTTTCTCTTAACGATTGCCACAACTGTTAAAAGGAGCATATAGAAGAGCCAGTCAATGCAAACCAGACGGCATTAGGAAAGGCCAAAGCAGCACACCATGATATTGAACTGTCAGAGGTTAGAAGACATTCAGATTTGAACAGCTCAGTTCTTCACTCAGAAACTGTGCCAGAGGAAACAGTTCAAGAGTGAATCTGGTATTAATGACGTCAAAAGAATACCAGAAGAGCATCAATTCTACTTACTCTCAGAACTACAAATTACTCAATACTTGTGAAAATTTGAGTCCTCCATTTTACAGAAATCATATCCTTTTGCTTTGCTACTCTCTCCTTACTTTTCTCTATATCACGTGCTTAAACTTAGATATGTGGAAAGGCGTCTTCTCAGGACTCTGTAGGACATTAAAACAGATCTATTTGGAGGTTTAGTTTATCTTGCACATAGAGTAGCAGAATTTGTTTGGGTTTTGTTGTCTCAGGTTTTACTTCTGATGTGAAAACTGACAAACTGGGGAAGCAGACATTCAAACCAACACCAGTACAAACCATGGTTTCGACAGTAAGATCAGAACGAAAAGGTAACACCAATGCTGTTGAGCAGAGAAACACAGAAAATCTCTCAGTGAGACAAGTAAGAACATATAGCCATTGCTCCCAGGCAGCAGCAACAAGCTAAATGCCGCTACTACTAATATTAGGCAACATTAACTTGCAAATAAATATGCTTAACACTGTTTTGCTTGTATAATTTTAAGCTACAGTAAATGAGAAACTAGTCTGATCTAATATGATGTGCAAAAGGTAAGATCAGTACTTTGAAATGAGAGGATGCAAGCAGAATACAGAATCAGGCCTCAGTCTAACTGCACCCAAAAACATTCTGGTTCTCTTCTCTTGTTAAGAAGGTATTCTTATCGAAACAATATGCTTCCAATCACTCTTCAGAGAAACACCTATAACAGTTACAGCATTGCAACTTGGTAATTCCCCTCCAAGGGCTTCTGTCCACTAGCCTATTCCAAAGTCAAACACAGCCACAAGTGCCTTGCTTTGTATCACTGATTAAGTGAAATATAGAACAAAATAGATACTCACACTATATGTGCAAGATCAAGTGGCTTTTCTGGCTGCTCAGGAAATACAGGACGAGGTGGTTCTCTACTTGGTACGCAACCGAGTGATTTACTAATTGCATGGCTCAGCTTCTTTGCAGGTGATTTCTGTTTTTGAAAAGAATGACAAAAATGAGTTGACCATTCTGGAAAGGAGTGTAATACATGCAATCGGGTAACAGAAAAGTGTAAAAAACATGCATTGTACTAGAATAGTCAGAAATATCCAGCTACATTCTACTGTATCTAAGAAATTCATATACACATGAACAAGTTTTGTGATTTGGGTTCGGGTTTTTTTTTGTGTGCTATAATATCAAAAAAATGAAAGAGGTTTAACAAAAGTATTTAAGATGAAGAAGATGTCTGTTGTTTCTATCAGGAATAAATCAAGGGACAATCATATCCAATTAAGGGATTTCTTTTACTTACAATGACTTCTGAACACAGGCATTGTGTTTTGAGGGGAGGGCAGGAACAGAGGACCTGGTGCCCAGATGCACCGGCTGCTGCTCCACTCTCATTCCCACCTATGAGAATCACCAGGATGCTGGTGCTGTGCCCCCTCCCCCCATCCTTTGCAAAGGATTTTTGAAAGACTACTTTCAATTGTTTTGTTTGTTATGGGCAAAGCCAAGGTGAAGCACGGTGTTAAGATAGATCAGAACAACCGGTTTGTTTATTTTCTTTCACAAGTTCACTTAGTTGTGCTAGCTAATATCCTGGGAGCAGCCATCCTGGATCATCTAAGGAAAGGTGAAAGGCTGGAGATAAGTGTGGCCAAACACACAAGAATTAACAGCTGCCCCAAATCAGGTGGTTAAAACATTTTTTAAGTCCAAAGTAGACTTACAAAATTAAGTCTCAAAATGTTATTGCATCCACTGAAGTGACACCAGTGATGTGGGAGGCCAGATAACACTTTTATGAGAGAAATCACTTGGCAGTCCTCTTCTCCCGATCTAACTCACTAACAGTCCATGTATGTGTAACCTAGTGGCTAATTACTCCTATGTAATTTTTTTACTCCTCCTGTAAGACATTCCAAAGTGGAATTAGGACCAATTCTTAATGCACATTCAAATTAAAATTCAGACTAACACCGACTTAAATAGGAGGCAAGGCTACCCAGGACAGGAGTTACACATATAGTTACAATTAACAGAAATTAGTAACTAGCAATTACTATCACTTATGAATATTTACTAAGAATTAAACAAACAATTAGTAGTTATTAAACCAGTAAGAATCTTCAGCTCTGGACCTCTTGGCTTTAGCAACGTAAATCAGGCAATAAAGGCTTTCTTGGGTGGAGAACCTGTGTGTGTAACAAGTTGTTCCCTCTGTGAATTTACATTGTTTGTAGTAGACTGGGAAGCATTTTAAGTATAAAGTAAAATACTAATATCAATTGGAAAACAATGAAAAAAGAGAAAAATTCCTTTCAAATTAGAAAAGAAGAGTGGGATGCCTGTGAGAACATATTAGGACAGCTGGTTCTTAACTGAAGTTGTATTATTCTCCTTCAATCACCTCACAACTCACAGTCAATGCTGAGAGCTCTAAAAACCATGACTGTAGTCTTGGGAAGAAAAGAAAAAAAAAAAAGAATTACCCATGATTATATTCCTCCTTGGAGTACACAGAATCATAGGCTGCTTTGTGTTGCAAGGGACACATCCAAGAAGATTCAAGGTAGCTACAGTCAAATTCCAGTAACGTGCCTCCATCAGCATCACACACAGTTTTACAATGTGTATGCTGGGCTGGTTACCATCTTAAGACCACACTTTTCACAAATTAAACCAATTATTCAATATGTTGCAGCCTAATTCCTTTCATATTCTGGAATTCTTACTCAACAGCCCATACATCCAAACTGTGGAGCAGCAGGATGCATCGAGGCCATGGAGAGCAAAAGCCATCTAACAGCCCTCAGATACCTGCTGGAATGGGCAATTGATGTTCCCAATATGTTATCTTTGAGTTTTGCAGACAGAAAGTCCTGGCCCTACCAAAGTACCACTGCAAAAATTTGTTATGGGTGCCAGATTCTTATCTGCTCTCACCAGCAAGGGCTTCAGTGGTAAGGATGGCAAGATAATCAACTGCTTCAGGTGAGGCTCCTATAAGGTAGCTCCAAGAAAACCAGCATCTCCAGAAGCACTTCATCTCACTGATACGCTAAATAGCAAGTGCTAAAAAGACTTACTAGAGGTAAACTGACGGGTTTCTTTTTTTCATTTTCTTTTTTTTTAATGTGCTGAGGAAACTTGCCAGATTGCAATCAAGAGATGATCCTTGCAAACAATGCTGAAGTGCACAGCACTCTCATTGTGAGAGGTTCTACAGATAATCCCCAGCCTTTAAGTATTTTGAAATCCTATGAGAAACACAATCCAATCTTTATATTACTTCTTACTAAGACCACAGTAAAATTTAAATTATGTACACAAATGTGATGATACCAAAAGTAAAATTCTAGTTTTCCTAAATTAATTCTTCAACATGTTGAAAATTTATACTTCTTTTACAGTATTTCCTACTTTACTCTTTACACTGTTCATCTTTTGGTTTCTGCACAGACCATCTATTCTCAGCGTGCCTTTTCTGCGACCTTCTCTTTGCAGTATTTTTAGGTTATTTTAAAGGGTTGGGGTTTTGGTTTTTTTTTCCCCACTCTGGTAACAACCACTATATCCTATTGTGCTACTCCACCATTTATTTTGTCAAATAAATGCAGCATTGGTCAGAATGCTGTACAATTGAGCCACTGCTGCAGCTTTGCTTTCTGAAAATTATAGGGGAAAGATAATTTCCATTGATCCCAACTTTCTGATGATGCTCCTCAGCACAGCTGGCAGTGAGGAGAGCAGGGCAGGGTGAATGAGTATGTGCTTCACTGGCAAGTAGACCTCTTACATGTGTCTCGTTTCCCTGGGAAATAGCTGCTTTTTCTTTCAATTGGATGAGTTCTACTGTAGAAATTTCTAATAACAACCACTTCTTTCTCCTCATTGTTGCTAATCTTGACCTCCTGCCTGTTTGATATCACCTGGAGGCATTGCCATATTCTGCAAAGATGGGATACGCTCCCTTTCACAAAAGCAGAAAACACAAACAGGAAGCCCCAGGGTAACACAGTCCTCTCCATGGTGGCAAACCCACAAACTCACAATCCCCCTCCCCATCACTGGCACCACCATTGCAAACCTCCCACGTGCCCACCACTAGCACTGCTGCTTTTTTACCATCTTCTTCCTCCCCTGCTGTTCATCTTGTTTCTTCTTGACTTTATATTTGTAATGTGAATAGCTGAAGACAAACTATGTTTTATGAAGTATCTGCGACTTAGTATCTGTTGTAACAGGATCTCAGTCAGCTGGGAATCTGGATGTATGACTACAAAATCCCCAGTATTAATATATTTGGTAGTTAAAACCAATAAAGAATTTCAGACTTTGAAAAAGGTTTCACATATTCTAGAGTTCAATGTATGGTATTATTTATCTTCAGCTTTGGATGGGAAAATGGTATGGTGTGCCTTTATTTTCAGAGGCTTTCAAGCACCTAACATTGCCTTCTGCTACAGAAGCGTAACTGTAGAAACCAGCTGACAACGCGCTGCTCTGCCTCCAGCTTCCTCCACACGCTCCCCTGGGAACAGCGAGCAGGCAATCCATTTTGTTTTACTTCCTACATGGGCACAGTACATGACTCAGCAGGATTTATGCTGCTGCAGCCATTCTATCACTCTGATGCTAACTGGCTGATGAGCCAAAAAACATCAGGCATGTAAATGAAGTATATGCTCTTTATCTGGACATAACGTCTCAGCAACATTCCTGGACACAGGAGTTCATGTTTTTGGTTGTTCTCCAATATATTAAAGCCATAAGGCATTAATGAAAGGTTTCTTCTCTGCAGCATTCCGCAAGGTTCACAGGATGCAGGTGTCAGTTTGGTTCTAGCAATATGCTGGTAGCGCTTTGCAGTTCTGAGCACATTAGCAAGGAACAACTGCTGAACTCCTTTTCAGTACACAATAAATCTTCTTAAATCTCAGTCTCTCTGAGATTTCTAATTCAGCAAACTCTCTCATCCTTTTACATATCTAGACCTATTAACTGGAGGATACTTTAGTTTTCCTCAAGTTGATCAATAAATACTCAGAAGAAACAGTTTCAGCTTCTTTTTCATCATGCATAGGATAACAGGACTTGCAAGAGCCACCAGCTACCATGTTTAAGGAATCGATGAATCTTCTAAACAGTCACAATTCAGCATGCAGTTACTAGACATTCCCTTCTTGAGCTGCTTATTTGAGATGTACATCTCCAGGTTTCCTGTCTCCTGAAACACCTATGAAGTTTGGAGTCAGAGGCGGACTACTTGATTAGGTATGAATCCAGATAGCCAGACCTGCGTCTGGAACACCTCTTCCACCACCACTTTCTAGATGATACATTTAATAAATTTTTCAGCTGATCAGACAGCCAAGGCTGGAACATGCTAAGTAGATACCATAAAAGCTGCATTTCTGCAGGCACAGTGCTGGCTGGTACACACACCTTCCACAGCTACCACAGTGGTGAGCTGCAGAACCACATTCTTCAGCAGTGCTACTGAGGTTGCTAAGTAGCAACAGTTACATAGAGTTGTCATGATCCCAAACACTGTCTACCTACCCGCAACAACATCTGGCTTCTCCAGGTCCAGAGGAAGCTCAGAAAAAAAAAAAGTACTTCAGAGAGGCCGGAATATTTGTTCCCTTTTGTAACATAAAAACTTAAAGACCATGGCTCTGCACAGTGCACTCTTCAGGCAATTTCACATTCCACTTGTAGAGCCACAACTAAGATTAAAATACCTTTCCTATTAAACACTGAAGCATTCTTCTTATGGCACTCAGCCTCAGAAACAAATGCAAACTAAACATCCAGGGTTTGGTTATTTCAGTAAATGTATCATCGGTACATCAGGCAAGAAATGTCCTGGATTCTACACTTTCTGTAATAAACAATGATGTTTTTATCAGCTTGCTGTCCTGGGAGATCAGGAACGTGCTATGATGAGACCTCCCACAAAACACATGGCAAGTGCCGAGTGTGTATGTTCTTAACCAAGTTTAGACAAAACTGAGCTGTGTCTGCATCCAGACGAACATCACTCTTGGAGCTGCCTTGATCCACAAAAAGGTATGTGCATCAAATAAAAATGGAATGGCCCCTTCTGCTGGGAAAACTAAGATGTTCTTGACAGATATCCCTGAAAAGTGTTTTCTACGTGCAAAAGTCATGAGAAATTACCAGTACAATGCAGTGATGATGTTCCATGTGTTTGAAACCCCCTTGTATCTGTACTGCATGTTGCCAGACTCTCGTTATTTCAGAGCGGTTTATAGATCTTGTCTCTGTCCCCCTGCCTTCCTATCAGAGGTTACATCTCTTAAAAAAATAATACTTCCATCATGGAATTAAAAAGTTGGAAACTACATTACCAAAAGTTGTCTTTCTACCTTCTATTTGTCTGTATATAAATCATGACCACCTCTATCAAAAGGGTCTAGTAAACAATAGTTACTATGGGCTTAGAAATTCACAGGTAATAAAAAATTAATTGAAACTTGGTTGGCAAGAACATTTGTTTGAAAATTGGGGGGAGTTTAAAGTTATCAGTTTCTCTCTCTTCACACATCCCCCTTTCCCTCCAATATCTCAGAATCACAGAACGGTTTGGGTTGGAAGGGACCTTAAAGCTCACACAGTTCCAACCCCCTGCCATGGGCAGGGACACCTTCTGCTAGAGCAGGTTGGAGGAAGCTGAGGTGCCCACGCCTGCCTCCTGCTCTGGCAGAACAGGTACGCGGTGGCCTCAGCTGTCCAGGGCTGTTCCTGCGTGCACGGGGGCAGCATGCCCTCTGCTGGAAAATACGGAATTATAAAAGGTTTTTTCACAGAGCTTGAAAATAGGGGCCCATGTGATGGTGGAAGTTCGCACATAGAAAGCAACATGACAGGGATGCAGAGCACACTGTTTAACACCGTGTTCCCTCTCAGCTTGTTTATGGGGGATTGAATAAAATCATGTTCAGAAAGTTTTAATAACTTTAAGGTAGTTTAAATGGGAAATTAAATGAACCATAAATACAAGAGATGTAATTCTGAGAGCAAAATCTTATTAACAGCTACTTACAGTATTGCTAGCCTTTACCTTGGTAGATAAAACGGCTTGTCTTTTGTTTTAGATTCGATCAGTACTGAGTGTAATGACTTCCCAACAGAAGCCATAGATATTATCACTATAGAAACAACTAAACATTGGGTTGGTTTGTTGATACACACTCCTACATGTTAAGGTGGGTATAAATAACAAATATTCCATTATTTATAGCAGGAAGAGCATTTTAACTACCAGAAGTTTGATAATAAGCCATCAAACCGTATACCCAAGAGTAGAAGTCTCAAGGGTAACTTAGCTGGTTTGACATTTTACCTGAAATTTATAGATGGCAGAAACTGCTTAAGCTTAGCAGACTACAAAAATAAACAAACAGACTGAACAATGACTAATCTACATGCTTTCAAGATGAACAATTTGATTTTCTGTTCTGCTGCACGTACATAACTAAATGAATCAGTGTTTAAGGCTATTTAATAAAACAAAATTGAAATAGCCCAGAAGGAAAAAGTGTTTGAAGTTTTTTTTCTTTCCCCCTAAACAGGCCTCAACAAGCAGTGTGCTCATACAGCAAAACCTCTCCTTCAAAACAAGATTTCTACCTGACCTTACTATAGTAAAATATATATTTATACATATATTTACAGATATACATACACACCTCACTCTACTATGTGATTTATAGTATACAAAAATTATCAAAGGCACTTTTGAATTTCAGGAAAAAGAACCTTATGAAAATACTATTATTAGTGCTTATTCTGGCTCTTAGGGCTCCAAAACTCTGAAAATACACCATACAAGATGGTGCTAGATCTGGCGGGATTGAAAGCCCAGGAAAAATAAACTTCTTATTTTATGGTATCAGAGTACCAGCTAATCTCTGCAGCTCTGCTCAGGATGGGTCTCTGGGGCTTCATTTGAGATACTACTATTGAGCAGACACACAAGTAGGTCATGCTATTTCAGCTGAAGCTGCACCAGTGCCAAGACACGATGCAGAGTCACAGTTACATCTCCCTTTCTAGACACCAATATAGTGCTTCCACAAGTCCAACACTGCTGATGAAAGTTCCATTAGTGAGCAGTCATGTTCCTCAACCTATTTTCTGCAGAACCACTCCTCAGCTGTGCATCCTTCACTAAACTTTGTGTCTGCTTAGTCCCACCCGAGACCTTTGCCATTTTTGTACTGAACTGCATCTTTTATTAAAAATTGCAGAACAGATGCCTTCAAATGCATTCTGTTTGCTGGATGTTCTTCATCTTTTTATCAGGTTAGACTTTGCCCTTCTCTCAGCAGTACTAGTCACCAGGTAATGAAGGCAGAAGTGTCCTTCTCAAGACTGACGTGGAGAAGACATTTCAGATTTCCTGAGCTCACCAGCTGATAGATTTCATTCAGACTTCTCCCTTTTTGTCCTCTATTTCCATCTTTTGTCTTTGCTTCACCTTGATACAACCTTTAGCCTCTTAATTTCATCTTTCTTTGATTTGGATTCTGCCTACATTGAACAAGAAATGTAAATATCTCCTTCACTCCTCGTGCCTTTTATTCTTTTGGCTCATGTCCCGGCATAACTCTGTAGTTGTGCTATACAAACCTACTACAACAGATTTACACAAGCATATCTTTGAAAAGTGTTCCCTTCATTTCACCTACTGCTTCAATTTCTTACTAGTAGGAGTTGCATATTGTTTCTCTACAGGACAGCCAAATTTGCTGCTGCTAAATTTCCTTCTAGACTTTTGGACCAATTGTTTTCAATACCAAATGTATCAATATTTTCATTGGCTATTAAAATCTAGTGTCTTTCAAGGTTCCCAACTATCATTATTTTTTTATATACACCCTTTCTTTTTGTTCTGCAAAATTCCTAGTATCTTCTGCTGTTTCCAGTGATCTACTTCCAGTTCTGCATTTTGTTTAATGTTGCTTCTGTATTTGTAACTCCCTCTTCTCCTGCTACAGGAAGCATATGGAAGGAAACCGCTCCAGAATCACTACCTGGTCCTGATTGCAAATCATGCGAATTCCTGATCTTGAAAGCGAGGTGGCTGCACCCAGGGTGTCTAGTAGGCATGGTGTGCCACCTGAGCTACTTCTAATCCTTACCTTGGGAAACTCTTGGTCCATGCTAATGCTAGGGACTGTTCTGAGAGTCCAGAGGTTCCGTTCACACAACAACCTGCACTGTTTAATTTAGCAGAAGAGTGATAAAAGTCTGCATAGCCTCCTTTTCCATTAGTGTAACTACCCCCTCCTCCAATTCACGTTATATCTTAAAATCAACTCATTCTGTACTGCCTACAAAGAATCAAACACCTCAAAAGTTAATACTGAAACAAAGCAGGATGGCAGGTTCACAGCTTCTGATACCAGAATGGGGCACATCCATCCAGCCTGACTTGTGGCAAACATATGGCTTCAGAAAGAAATCTCTACATTAGAGTTGGAGCTACTATTTAGATAAGTATTTTATTAAAAAATACAGACTGGATTTATGTGTACTTAAAGGGATAATAATCTACTGGTAGTTGAGATGAAGCATTCCAGAAGTTTATTGCCCATGCAGTTAAAAAAGGGACAATATTTAAGCCTGAATTTTCCTATCTCCGCTTTCCAACTACTGAATGGTACTAAGCCCCAATTTTCTAAATTAAACAGTAATACTATAATGACTCTTCCTCATGAAGATAATTACTAATTATAATCCAATCATCATCTGAACTTCTCTTTGAATTAGTAAAAGGTTGGGCTTAATCTTTCACCATAAAATAGGGGTTTATATCTAAAATTGTCTATTATTTCTTGAGATGTGATTATCACATAGTCATCCAACTGAATATTATTTCTCATATAATTTCTTTAAGGCTTTTTAGTTAAGAGTTTTCAATGCATATATTTACAGTTGTCAGGACAATGACAACACTGAATTTTTCACTTAAAGAAATACTATATTTAAAGGTGCCACTTGGATAAAGTTTCTTTTGGAGCACACCATTCATGCTAACTGCTTTAGCTTTCTGGGGAGGAAAGGTATTGCAACTTTTAAGTCTTTTTAAGCTAGAACAGAGGAAAATATAAGAAAATTAGGATTGCTGTGCAGACGCGAAGAGAACACAGGCCCTGAGGAGGATGGTGCTGTCTTGTGTACTTTGAACAGCACTGAATACCATGACAACCATCAATAAATTAATGTTACTTGTAATAAAACCAGTACAGTTTCATCTATTTATATGCTTTCGCTATTTAAAAACCTTTACAAGTCCTACTGTGCAGTTCTACTACAAAATGTTAACTTTCAGAGTAAGTTAGTATGGAGGCGGTTGGTTCAGCATGACAAAGAAAGGTGAGTTACCCAAGATGAATGCTCCTTCATCTGATGCTGGTTGCTATGAGGACCATTTGCATGGCCACGCCAGAAACAGTTTTGACAGAGCTGGTAGTTGTGGCACTGCTGGCATCGGTACCGGAAGCCCATCATGCTCTCACACCGGCAGTATGAACATTCCACAGGATGGAAGACTTGGTAGAGATGGGGAAGGAGGAGGGGGGAAAAAAAAAAAATGTAGTAAGTGAACTTTAGGAGAACCTTGACCATCAAATTTTATTGGAGCTTCCAAACGTGCCCACTCCCCCCCTGGTTTTTAACCACTAAACCAACTTATTCTGGGCAGGTCACAGATTCTGAGTGCAGAGTAGGTAATTTCAGTGAGATTAACCATTAACTTAAGTCAATCATAACACAACAGTTCCACCTAACAAGTTCAATATTTTGTCTGCAGATTTCTCCATCCTTAGATATACTCAGCCCCAGAGATCTCCATGGAAGTCCACAACACTGAGAATACATGTCAGTGGACAGGAAAGGAAGAAAGGCTACAATCTCAAAGGTTAATTGCTGCCAAAGGAGATCCCTTTGCCCCAGAGCCAGCTGAGAGCGCTTTTTGCAGGAGAGACAACTTCAGAGCACCATGATGGGCTTCTGCTCCAAATCACTTCTCACTGAGCAACTTCCCTCGCTATTCCCAAACTGTGAGCTGCCTCTTGTACCTCTACAGCTTAAACTGAAGAAATGCCCAATGTGCCTCTAAATCTTAACATCTTGAGAATTGGAAAATTAAATTAGGTATGACATGCAGAGTCACTGTCAGGAGCAGGCTAAAAAAGAATGAATAAATGCTTCTTCCCTGTTCTTCTACCCATGAACAATCAGTCACAGACTTACTCCATTTAGGAGAGAAGTCTTCAGATCAAAAAAAGAGGAATGTGAGAATGAGGTAAAGGTAATATCTTACTACATTAAATGCGTCTTAGAAGGTGAGGCACAGGAGATAGAATGGAAGGGTGAAGGTGGACGTGAACTACAGGAGCAAATGGTTTCGCATTGCTGTGAGTCTACAGCATAAGTGATCAGATATATATGTACTATAAACTACTGAAGGATGTAAGAGAATTAGGAAGAGTCTGAAGTTTTGATTTATGATTAAAATGATGACTTAGCTGTTCTAGCTGAGACTTGGTGCAATACTGCACAGGACAATGAAGTTAACGTAGAGAGATACCACTTCTGGTGGTACCTGGAAAGGTCTGGCCAGTTAAACTGTGCTCAAGTACCTGCTACCTCGAAAGTGGATGCATATGCCAAAACTATGGAAAGCACATGGTTAACAATCAAATCAAAGTCACCCTGAGCATTAACCTGATCAGGAATTGACATGGATAATTAAGCCAAGATGATCAGGTGCACAAGGCTTTATTGCAGCATGTACTAACACCATATAAAGTGAAGGACTTGATTGTGGTGGGGGATTTCAATATACAAATACCCCTTGGGAATGGACTGTGGAAGAACTGGTGACTTTTTTTTTTTAATGAAAAAGTAGAGAAAGCAATAGAAAGGAAGACGTCTAGATCCGTATCAAACAGTAGAAAAGAAACTGCTTGAAAAAGATTACAAGTGACCTTAAATTAATATGACAACAGAGTAATTTTGTGAATTTTGGGAAGTGAAGGAGAGAAGAATGTGACTTCAGTGCAGCAGATTTCAGTAAACTTATAGCACTTAGGAAGTAGGCTACAAGAAGAAACAATTCAACAGGAAGTTGGAGTTAGGAGAATTGTCAGTTCCTTAAAAAAGTTATGTTAAAGAAACAAGCATAAGATATCTCAGTGCAGAGAAAGACCAGACTGCAGTAAAAGACCAATATGGCTAAAGTATAAGAGCTCCTCAATATCCTAAAATTCAGAAGGAAGTCTACAGAAGTGAAAACTGGGAAAAATTATTAATGAGGGTTAAAATGTTCAGAAGTAAAGTTAGAAAAACAGAATGAGAGAAAACTAGCAGGAGATTTAAAAGGGATATTACATGAATTGTAATTACGATCCTTAAAAAGATATGAAATTATACCTATGTAACTACTGACCTCTCATGTTGTCTTAACTTGCAGAGTACACTCTGGAACAAATAATAAAACCAAGTACTATAAGCACCTGAGGAACAACAGAGAAATGAGCCATGGATAACGTTTGCCAAATCAACCTAATGCTTTTCCATGACAGAGTAATTGACCTTGAAAATAGGAAACGGGCATCAAATGTCATCAGCTTTTCATTTTTTTTCAGTAATTCTTACTAAATTGGTCTCCCATGGTATTCTCACGATGGGTGGAAATACACAGTAGATGAAAGAACTGTAACCTAGATGTGAATCTCCCAGGAGAAAGACCACAGAGCAGTCAACTGCTAAAATGGAAAAATCTAATGAGCAAAGGGCTTTATTTCAGGTCACATATTGGTCAATGTTTTTCATAAACACCCTGAATGATCATCAAAAATGTCTGATTTGGGGTATCACCTTTCAAGGAAGATGTGGGTTAATTAAATGCACAGGAGAAAGCAATTGAATTGTCTGAATGATATCTGGTAGACATCTTCGCTAGGAGCACATGGTGAGAAGGTATCATCCAACAGGCAAGAGGTACTTACAAAATAGCAATACATTCTCCAGAGCCAGTGGCCAAAACCCAGGTACTTAAGGGTTTAAACTGCAATAAGAAAAAACTCATGCTAGAACATTAGGAAAAAACTTTCTCACTCTAAGTATATTTAAACACTGATCTCACCCCAGCTTCAAGTCCAGGAAGGTGTTGGAACTTTTTGATGGAGGATTTTAAGAAGCAATGAAGCACATCTTTCAAGAACCTTTACACACATTTGAATTTGCCTTTGGAAAGAAAGATGGGTGCAGTCACAGGTTCCTAAAGCCTTTTCTTGCACAGACAGATGCCTCCACACACACACTCTCCTGCAATATCCTTTCTGCTTGGGGCAGGGCTGCTGTCTCCCGCCAAGGCAGAGCACTAGGTCACTACCTTAATAAAAGCCAATATACTGATATCAGCTCATCGCTCATGTTCCATTTACCTCTGAGTACCATGTCATCTTGACTCTTCTTCCCCACCTTTTCAGAATTGTCTCTTATCTTCTCTGACTTCATGCATTTAGAAGAGATTACTATTGATGAAACGGGGACAACAGTACTACAGTGTCCTGAACCAAAGAACCAAACACTTGAAACTGACATGCTTGATTTAAGAAAGCAATAACAACATTCTGATAAAATAAAACATGAGGCAAAATAATAACGGTGACAGCACTCAATGTACTGCAAGAAGCATGCTCTCAAAAGGACTGGTGAAGACAAGACGGGAACAATCAGTATCAGAGATTATTAGATCGTGGGCAAGGGGTCTGGCCATCAAGAGAGAAACCAAAGAGATGAGCTTTTTTGTTTGTTTGTGAGTGGGTTTTTTGTTCGGTTTTTGCTTTTATTTCCTTTTTCTGAAAGTGACAAAGTTTAGCTATGGTTGGGACACAATAAATGAAGTGGAACAGCATGCTTCCTCCAGTCCTAACCTGCCAGCTTCCCCTTCCTGCCTTAACAGCAGGTGGTATAATCCAATGTAGATATTACATTTTTTTGTTAATTTCTGAATGCCACAAAATATGGTGTTGCAAAATGTATTTCTCTTCTCTCCTGTTCAGGTCACTTCAGGACTTCTCTTCATCGGGGACTGTACACTTCATCAGAGACTGTAGCAATAGAACAAGGGGGAATGGGTTTAAACTTACACAGGGGAAGTTCAAGTTAGATATAACAAAGAAGTTCTTTACAGTGAGGGTGGTGAGGCGCTGGAACCATTTGTCCAAAGAAGTGGTAAATGCTCCATTCCTGGCAGTGTTCAAGGCCAGGCTGGACAGAGCCTTGGGCAACATGTTCTAGTGTGAGGCGTCCCTGCCCATGGCAGAGGGCTTGGAACTAGACCATCTTAAGGTCCTTTCCAACCCTAACTATTCTTTGATTCTGTGATTTTTAATCATTGAAAATGACCATTTAATAGGAAATACTCAATCCAGATCCATAGCAAAAATGACTCCTTGAGTATGTCCCATCCCAGACTTTAAACTAAAAAAGTTTCTGCCTTGCTTTTTCCTTAGTGGGCACATCCGTAATCAGAGCTGTGCTTTCGCTCAACATCTCTTTTCCTACCATGCGTCTCAGTAATCCCAACTTCTTCTACTGTCTCAATCCTTTAAATCTGCTATTTTAACCTTCCCACAGTCAGGCCCCCAACACCAAGCCTCCCTTAACTTCTTTTACTGTAGGGACATAATCCCGACTTGATCTCCCCGCCTGCTCAGCCTGCTATGGCTTGCCACATACCTCTGTACATCAGCTGCAATGACTTCTAATCAGCACTTTCAGCAGAGGAACTGCTGCTGACTCTGGAGCAAAAATACCACTTGCAACAGAATAAAAGTTTTTGAGGAAGCTAAAATTGTAGTAAATTAGAGAGAAACAACAGTGGCTGGAATTATTGATGGCAACATAATTCAGCAAGCAGTTTGGGAGACAGCTGTAGAAGAGGCTGGTAAGAATTAGAAACATAATTTCAATGCCCCAAACATTAGAAGTTAGTCTATGAAGAAATCTGAATGCTAAACTTAAGTGTAACAAGACTCCTATGTGTAACACGAGATTAAATCCAGGGACTTGTTGGCAGAAAAGACGAGTGAGGAGAATCTCTTGCTGCTTGGAAGAAAGAATTAGCAACAGGGGCGCTTATGCAACTGCTCCCAAGGAAGATGGCACGTATATCACACAGTGAGGGCCACAGAAGCTGCCAGATAATAAATCTGTAAGGATGATTTTATTCTCAGTATCTAATAATTTCCCCAGGTACTTTCAAGCAGAAAAAAGATCAGTCTATTGATTATCTCCAGTTCTTTCCACCATGTCACTTCTGTCCAAACTTTACGTTTAACCATTTCACTCCTGCCTAAGCCCTGTGCAATTCTATTCTGACTTGTAATTCATATAAACAATCTTACTGTCTATTTCTTTACCGTATTTATTCCACTCTGTGTGCTTTTCTTGCAGTACAAATTTACCAGGGTAAGAGAGCAGAAGAAGAAAGCAAGAAGTCACTGCTACCTTCCTGTTAATGCAAGCCGTCACATGAGAATGGGAAAGTCTGCAGTACTGTAGTTTACCTAATATTTTAACAAGTCAATCTCTTCGCTTTTTTGGTAAGTTTTCCCATAAGATTTGTCTCTATGAAATCGCTCCTCTCAAAATTCTTTAAAAAAAAAAAAAAGTAACTTTTTTGATGAGACCCCTAATTATTGGGAAATGTCCATAGATATATACAGCAACTGGGAAATTCAACTTCTTTTGCAATAAAGAAGAAAAGGCCCATTGAGCATCACAAATCCAGTATTCTTTACTGCTCAATAAATGCAGATTAAATTCACAACCAGGTATGCTTTGCAAGAGGATCAAGAGAAGACAACGAAACAAATTGAAAACCCAGCATATCAAAATCACAGCAACACTTAACCATGGATAAATGTCAGGAAACAGAGAATGGAATACAGATCATGAAAACTTTGCTAAAGACAGCCTGCTGAGCTTTGCCGGTAAACTGCTAGGCAAAACCAGTGGCTGGAGTTTCTCTATCTGTGCCATAAATGGAAGAAGTCTATACACCTTGAAATGACTGTGAGCACATTAAATAGAAGAAGAGGTAACAACTAGTAGGGCAGGGGTTTTGATGGATGGTAGGATGATTTTACTCTGTCAGGAAGGAAACAAAAGATGGAATTTATGGCTGAAGAAAAGTTGTGGGTTTTTTTCTAGAATTCACATACAAAACATGATACATATATGCTGAGTGCAAGAAATTAAACCTTTTGTCCACTATAAACAACAAACACTTTTCAATATACTTGCACAACTTTCTGCAGGAAACCTTTTTGCTTCCCTAAACTCCATAAAGCCCTTGCAGCCAGTGACTCTTTCATTACTCTTTCTCACTGTTAGTCTCCAGTTTTCCAACCATTATTGCTCCTTAAATACTTTCCATAGGCTGTAAAGCCAGGGAATTTTAGCTAAGAAAAGGCCTAGAAGTCAGAGGAGCTCAGGATTTACCTCCAATAGCAAGCACTGAAGTGACTCGTGCTCAAATGCTACTTAAGACAGACAGTTGAGTGGGAACCAAAATCTCGGAGAGTCAGCACTTGAAAACATATGTTACAGCATAGTTCAAATGAAGGGTTTAAGAGTTTCAGAACAGGAACATTTAGAGAATATTGTTACTCTGCTACTTGTTTTTTGATCTTCTGCTACCAGTGATGCTGGAACTCTGAAACTAAACTTGTTCTACATTGGTGCTGGTGATTTCATGAAGAATCAGTCTTTGTTCTTTTTCTCTCCAACAGAAGTCTAGGCTTAAATGCTCTGGGACTAAGACCATTACAGTGGGAACAACAAAGGCGTAAGTGCTTTGTTACGTGAGAAAGGACAGCACATTTACATACTTTGACAGAAACATGTTTCAAACAAGAAAATATTCCATTTACCATTTTCAACATGGGCAAGTCTGTGCATTAGAGGCAGCCACACAAGGCACTGAGGAGGTGGATCAGCCATCAATGTGTCTAAAAACATGTTTATCATTATCTTTTTCTGCAAAGAAAAGAGAAATAGAATTTAATTATAAGAAAAAAATATATATACCCCAAACTACTTCAGCCTTAAAATCTTTCTATGACTCAACTGCTGTCTGGCAGAAATATTTCATATGCTAGAAAGAGACAAAAATCACAACTTCTTTGCTCAGGGAGTTTCAATCTATGTTAGTCAAGCAGTAACACCACAAACAAGGTTTTAGTGTAGACATGATATAATCATACAAAAAGAAATGATAAACAAATGAACAGAAAACTCCAAGAAATGTAGGGCTAGTCAGTCTGGATTAGTTCCCCAGTTGCAGTTAAGGATTCTTATTTTGAAGAGGAATACAACAAATGTGAGTGGAGGTTACTTAACAATGCAGAAAATGGTATTTCAAACATACAGACAGCACTGAAAAGAAGTAGACACAAATAAAAGAGTAATTACAATGCATATTCATACAAGATCCATATAGTAAATGATTTTTTAAAAGGCAAAACAAGAAAAAAAGAGGCAAGGAGAGAACCAGGCTAAGATTTTAAGCAATGAATGACTAAGAATGAAACTGAAATGAAATCATTAGGAGACGGAAGTCAGGCATGTGAAAAGTAATATTTCCTAAGGTTTTGAATTCAAGTGAGCAAAAGAAAAGAGCTGCTGTAAACACAAGCAGATGGAGACAATGGGTAAGAAAACCAGTGAAGAATATCATGGATACAAAGAAAGAACATGTTGGCTTTTGCACACAGAGAGATGTGTAAGAACCTCTCACAGGCAGGTGGCCAGCAGATCAGGCGGTACTTTTATCTCACCTTAGCATATGACAGTGCTACTCCAAAGAGCACCCACAACAGGGAGGGCAAGGAGGGCTAGAGGAAAAGCTAGGATGGGTTTCTAGGGGCTGTGAAATCAAATGTAGCTTTCACTTGCAATTATGATGCCAAAAATTAATGGCTTTAAACTTACAGAGGGTAGATTTACACTATATATTAGGAAGAGGGTCTTCCCTGTGATGGGGGTGAGACACTGGCACAGGTTGCCCAGAGAAGCTGTGGCTGCCCCATCCCTGGCAGTGTTTAAGGCCAGGTTGGACAGGGCTTGGAGCAACCTGCCCTAGTGAAAGGTGTCCCTACCCATGGCAAGGCGGTGGAACTAGAGAGCTTTAAGGTACTTTCCAACCCAAACTGAGCTATGATTAGACAGTGATATATGCTATGCACAGTGGCAGAACCACCTAAACATAGCAGGAGAGCTTCCTCTGCTATATAAGAGTTCCCTTTGCGCAGTGTGAACCTTACGAATTGTAATTGTCAAAGCCTGTGTATAGAGTGATGCAACTTTCATGTAACTCAAACAAAAGCAGTCTGGACACAGGCTTTGGGGTTTTTTCACCAATACAGGTAGGATATTTTGCAACCAATTGACCAAAAAGAATCACACAATATTATCATTGCTACATTTTGTCTGTCTGGGCAGAGGTGTTCTCAGTAATGGCTGAGTTGACGAGAAAGCAAACGGCAGTTTCTGCCTAGAAATTATGTGCCAGAGAAGGAGCCTAAACAAAGCCCTTTCTTGTAGCTGGTCTAACATTTCCTACTGGGTTCAGAATCCAGCCATGGAGCAACCACAAAACATCACTCAGCCATCATTTGTGATGCAACAGCAATCAAATAATCTGCCAGCAGGTCCCAAACTCCAAGAACATAAATGGAAAATTAGTAAATGTGAAGGCACAACCAGTCATGAGGTTCAAATGCTTCCCGGCAGAACAAATGCAATTCTGCATAGATAATCTCTGTAAACACCTGCTGACTCTACCCCATTTTAATACATGTTGTTACCAATTCCTGTTAGCATACCTACTTGTCTTAATAGCTCTGTAGCCTCAGATCTTCCTGCAGGTGGGTGCAGAGGTAGGTTATACCAATGCAATTCTTGTATTTAGAAGAACACCATAGGCTTGCTTCAATAGCAAAAAAATCAGCCAGTTTTACTGTTAACACTGCCAACACGCTTGTTTCAACAAGATGTTAATGCATGTATTTCCCCTCAAAACAGTGGCACAAAAACACATCCCTGAAGCCTGCCAAAGATACATGATTTGTAACTGCAGCAGTCAAAACAGATTATACTGATCTAAAGAGCTGTGTATTAGACCTCATCTGTATCTCTAACTGTTCTGTGTCTTGTGCTCTATCAGAGTATGCTTACGTCTTTCCTTGTACACAAGACCATCCTGTCCTTAATATATCCTTGTTGCTCACTTTAGCAACTGTACATCCTTCTGACACTGTTAAGTTTGTGATCTGACTAGTTTAACTATCAACCATGCCATTGGCAAAGCCTAAGTCAGCCAATGCTTTAGCAAAGCTTTCATTTAAGGCATGCACAAATCACTGCCTACCTAGACCTGCTTGTATAGCTTGTGCTGCTGATTTTCAATAGAATGATGTGCAGTTGGACTGTACAGCAGTCAAGCTCCTGGCTCCTGAGCCTCAGAAGTGAATGTCTCAGCTCAGTAGGAACACTGCAATTAAACTGCTCTGTAAATGAGATGTAAAGTGCACACACCTCTGCAACAATAAGACAGGTTGTGCCATTAACACAGAAGGATTTTGACTAAGGCAGGGAAAGTCACGGTGATACAGCATCTCTGACAAATACAGGGGCTGTGGCCAAGTGAACAAAAGTCTTAAGAAAAATATGACATGATATCCTACATCTGTGGAATCCCCCACTTGACCTAGACTAGCAAATTATTACTGGAAACTCTTTATACATCTGGAAGCCATCACAATGAATGCAGTTCTTGCCAAAAGCATCCCAAGAAACTCCGTTTTACATGGGTAACAAGTTGGAATTACTCCGTCTGTGACCCAAGAAATGAAACAGTTGTGTAGGGTATACAATCACTAATATTTCTTTGCCTATCTGCCCTTTCACCACTCAGACAGCAGTAAACTATTAGCCTTTGGCACCTAGAAAAAGTGCCTCCCGGAACCAAGACCTCCATGGGTAGCCAGGAACCACAGCTGGCCAGGAAGGATTTGCCTCTTGGTAGCTTAAATAACACTAGGGAATATTCCTGGCACTGAAACTCAAATCATGCACATTTTCATGTTATTAACCCTGTATCTAGTTTAACCACTCACTCTCCTAAATGATTCCAGTATCCAGATCAGGTGTTAGTATCAGCTAGGAATCATTTCTAATAAACAGTTTCCATGTAACCACCCTGCTTGGGGGAATAAGAGAGTTTAGTAACATGGATGTGGTTAGACAATTCCAACTGGCCTTAGCACCACAGGACAGCTCAAGGCAGTGTTTAATTAACTACTGCAAATGTAGCTTGTATGTTTGTCATGTACATGCTGAAGTCTGAAACCCCACAGCTTTACCAATGCCATCTGGAGCAAAATCATAGCCTGTAAAAGGAGAGTATCACAGAAGTATCTCTGGGAAGCTTGTTTTCAGATCTGGGAGGCATTAAAAAATGGAATTAATTCTAAGACAGATTATCCATCTACTTCCCAGGACCTGTTTCAAAGTTTTCCAATAAATGAAAGAATTGTCTTGGGGTACAGTGTATATCTGGATTAATTAAAAAAATAACAACATTACCATTCTCTACAAACCTGGCCTTACATGAGAGATTTTGTTTCGCTGAATAAAATTAGAGCAAAGGAATTTCTAAAAGGAAATCAATATGAAGAATTAGCTTTATTGTTCATGGGAGCCAAAGCGTGTCAAGACATGCTGCAGGCAAGCCACATACAAATCAGAACCGTGTAACTGTTCAGGTTGGAAAAGACCTTTAAGATCATCAAGCCCAACCACTAACTCAGCACTGCCAAGCCCACTACTAAAACATGCACATAAGTGCCACATTTATACACCTGTCAAGTAGCTCCAGGGACAACACCACTTCCCTGGGCAGCCTGGTCCACTGCTTGACAACCCTTTTGGGGAAGGAATCTTTCCTCATATCCAATCTAAACCTTCCCTAGTGCAACTTCAGGCCATTTCCTCTTATTCTATCACTTGTGACTTGGGAGAAGAGACCAACCCCCACCTTGCTACAACCTCCTTTCAGATAGTTGTAGAGAGCGATAAGCTCTCCCCTGAGCCTCCAATTCTCCAGGCTGAACACCCCCAGTTCCCTCAGCCATTCCTCATCACACTTGTTCTCCAGACCCTTCACCAGGTTTGTTGCCCTTCTCTGGCCCTGCTTCAGCACCTCAATGTCTCTCTTGTAGCGAGGGGCCCAGAACTGAACACAGGATTTGAGGTGCAGCCTCACCAGTGCTGAGTACAGGGGGATGATCACTGCCCTGGCCGTGCTGGCCACACTATTACTGACACAGGCCAGGATGCTGTTGGCCTTCTTGGCCACTTGGGCACACTGCTGGCTCATGTTCACGGGCAGTTACTATACCTTACTTGGCTACAGTAGCGAGATTTGCATCAACTATCTTAGACATCTTAGCCAACTGTCCAAGTCCAGGGAGCTATACCAGCCTTTCTTTAGGGGTAAGAAATGTCACTTCCAGAATCCAGGCTTCTGAACAAAACAAAACCCCATTCCCATTCCTTCTGCAGACATGGACAGACCACGTAGGGCTTAGAATCCAGTGTCTGGCTTCTATAACCACATAGCGAGGCCGAGGCTCTACATTCAAAAGCAGTGCCACTTACGTGAAACTTCATTTGATCACTTCACAAAGGGTGGCATAAGTGTGCAAACAAGTATGGCCCACAAATGCGTCAGTCAATATGGAAACAGAAATAAATATTTATTAATTGCACTACCGGTAAAAAAAACCTCTCTCCTCAGTAACTCCCAGTCCTTATTATTCCCTAAATCAAAGCTGTTCCCTACTGTGTTGTATTTCAAATATTCTAATTGCTGATTAACTTAAGTTTCACAAAAGTGACTATAAACTCTGAATCTAAATACTTCAGAAATATATCTTCCGGAACATAATCATGACCAGAATCTAAACATTTAATTTTAGGCCTACTATTATCTAGGTTCATGCTTACAGTTGATTTAAGGATTATTTATACTGTTTACATTATTTCAAATCAGAAACAAGTCCTTGGAACGATAAAATTACAATGAATGAATAAAGAAATAAAAAGCTCTATAAGATCATTACTATAACATATACTCCAAACATCAGCTGTAATGGAAATATTTTGGAAAAAACAGCTATACCAATAAGCATAATAGTAAAATTGATTTAAAAATAAACTACATGTACACAATGTATTTATATTGTACAGGCCCAATCACGTAGCAAGTGATTTGTTGAAACTAACACTCTTGAAACACTGAGAAAGCTTATTAAATAATCAAAGGAAAATAGTAAAAATGCTATGTTTCATATTTTAGAAAAGAAAGAGAACATCCTTGCTGTTCTGATGGGGAACTGAAGTGTTCCTTCAAGGAGGGGCAACAACCCATATTATGCAAAATCATTTAGTTGCCTAACACACAGACATCCTATTTTTAATTACTCAGACTATCTTAAAACTGCTCAGGTGATATAGCACATATTACCACCCCCTCCTCCAAACTTCCCATCCAAACCACACAGGCAGTGGCCTTTAAAGCTCCAGCTTAACACACAATACCGAAATCCTGGGTGGTTAATGCTTACTTGTTGTGGGAAACAGGTCCGAACAGAATGCTCTGTGTATCCAAAAGAAGGCCCTTCAAACACAGCAGTTGGAAGTTTTAGAACTTCTTTCAAAAACTGATCAAACTTTGTAAATATCATTAGTCCATTTGAATCTGATATTTGAGAGAAAATATCTGTAAGAAAATATAATAAAACCCCACAGTAAATACATGCTTACTACAGAAAAAACCTAATTATTTCAATCCATTTAAACCCCACGAAATTTCTTTTTGGTTTATTCTGAACATAATTTCTTATTAATTGCTATCCAGATGAAATTTATAAAATGAACACATGCAAACATGCTGTGATATAAATCTTTCTGTTTCCTCCATCCCATCTCACTCAGTTTGAGGTAAGATTCTGCTGGTGCATTAACTGTAACAGCAAGGAAAGAAAGAAAAAAAGAAGAAAAAGAAAAAAAGCAAGCAGAAGCAAGGAGGCAGTATAAAAGTTATAGAACACGGTATCTTCAAGCTTACAACTTCAAAATAAAACTAAAAATCCTCCTAGAGGTCTCACAGAATTAAAAGAAGTAGTAAGAATCACAAAGTCCAAACTGGCAAAGCCCCTGGTAAGCTGGGTGCATGCCACTGCCAGGCTGAGTGCCTAGTGTTGGAGGAGAGTGTGGAACAGATGTGGTGAGAACTGGGGTACCCTGACTTCCATTCACCAGCTGAGACACCCCAGCAATGCAGCTGAGGCAGGGAGAGAGGAAATTGGGTTGAGTTTTGTACCAGAGACACTGAGCATACTGGAGAGCTAGAACAAGAACTTCTGTCTTTACACAAGAATTAAGCTGAAAGAGGGTAGATTTAAATTAGATCGTAGGAAGAAGTTCTTCTCTGTGAGGGTGCTGAGGCCCTGGCACAGGTTGCCCAGAGAAGCTGTGGCTGCCCCGTCCCTGCAAGCATTCAAAGCCAGGTTGGACACAGGGGCTTGGAGCAACCTGGTCGAGTGGAAGGTATCCCTGCCCATGGCAGGGGAGCCGGAACAAGATGAGCTTTAAGTTCCCTTCCAGAACAAACTATTCTGTGATTCTCTGACTCTATAAGAAGAATGTGTGGTATGAGACAAGGTATGCTTTTTAATTAGCTTTATGGGGCTAAACATATTTCTGAAACCAGAAAGAGGGTTGAGCAAGGTTTTCAGCAGTCTTGTGCACATATGGAAAAAGAAAGAGAGGGACAGCGGTCACTTCCAGCAGCAGGGAGGAGGGGGTCTGGCAAGTTCCGCCCCCAGCTGTGTTCCAGCTGTAGGCATGGTAATGGAGGGAGGGTGTCCCTGAGCCACCCCTGACTGCACAGAGCTCAGCTCCTCCAGCCCCTCTGCTCCACATGACCAGCCCAAAGCCCCCAGCAAAGGCAAAAATACAGAACAAGGTGTGCAGATAGCATGATAAGAAAATTATGTCACATAAAATATTGGGACAGCTGCCTACAGATACAGCCTAACTGTCCTGGGAGCAAAAATCTCTTTGGAAAAGACAGATGCCTCAAACAGCAAAACTGATACACCTTGGAGTCATATTATGCTAGAAAGGAAGATTTCTCTAATAGCAGCACTAATATTAGTAAGACCTAAATTTTTCCAAGATGTGACAGATAGATACTAGAATTCTTCACTAGCACTGACTCATCTCTGAGGTTATTTGACACACCAGCAGTAATGACACATCAAAAAGGGGATGTTGACAGAAAATAAATTTAAGTGATCAAAACTAGGTCCGTAAAAAAACCCCAACTATTCCAGAAACTATTTCTAGTGAACTAGAGAAAGTATTCCGGTCTGCTGAATGAATGAGCTCACAAAGAAGCCTACAATATCCAAATTAAGGTTGTTAAAGCTATCTGGAATTGGTATCTCTGGCTAAACAGACAAGGCTGAAGTGAGGGTTGAATAATTTTGTAGAATAATCTGGTGAGCCATATTAGGAATAATGGAGGGAGGGAGAGGGAGAAAGGAAAAAGGGAAGGGAAAAACAGTATGGAAAAAGGGAGAGGGAAAAGGAAAAACAGAAAAAAAAAAAAAGAAAAAAAAAAGGGTGTCAGGAGGGGAACACTGTATTTTAAAAAACTAGACCAAGCAGAAAAATTAAATTTAACCCAAAAACTAAATGTGGAAGAAAAGTTAGGCTCAAACTGCATACAAATGAAAACTATGGAAGCAACTAAACCTGATCAGCAAGGCAAACTTCCCGAATCCCAATCCATTCTAGATGAGACACCCCAACCCCAAAATCTGAAGGTCTGGTAATGCATCTGTCAAGGTGAGACTGGTAGATCCAGACTGGAACCTGACAGCATTTATGTTTAACAAAGGACAGAAATCTGCTGGGTATTCACGGTCTATTAATGAGGACTGAGCAGAATGCAAAATTTAAATGATTTTAAAGAGAAAGTAATTAAAGCTATGGAAACAAATTGAAAATGCGATAAAATAGAACAAGCTTTATCAAGGCTAAATTAAAAAGAAAAAAAAACAAACCAAAGCCCACTAACCTATATCTCACAGTCATAAAAAAGTGGTTTTATAGTCAAAGCGAAGTTAAACTAATCTATGCGGGGAACTTCCACATGGGAAATTAGCAGGGAAATTGGAAAAGATAAAGATTAGTAGGATATAAAGTCATCTGCCCTTTAAAGGGGCAGTAAATTACCCTCAAATAGAAAACCTGAAGCAACCCAGAGAGTAACAGCATCATTTCTCAAGAGCTCCCTCAGGGTTGCAACAGGCAGGTGCTAATAGAGTTTCCCAATGACGAGGTATTACAATTGTCGTATACAATTTCAGTTGAATGCTATTATGATATAAACTTTTTTTTTTTAATGGAGAGAATAATAAATTTAGAATTACAAACCCCACTGCTCAGTCCCCAAAATACAAATGTAAAATGGCACTTGTGCAACTCACTATTTCCTTTTTACAAATGCTTGCAGTAAAACTTTTATGCTAAACACAGAGCTCACAATATCATGTCAAACCTGCCCAGCAGTTCCCCCAGAGCCTCTCATCAGCTGCTCATAACTACCAAAATTTACTGTCTGTGCTTTCCAGTCAGGGCGTTTGCCTGATGCTTTCAGAGGTTTCAGGTGAAGGCTCCACCATTTCTCTAACGGAGTTAAAAACAAAGTGACAAAACCTCAGCACTCTTATCTTCCAGGATCTTGACCTTGAGTGTATCCTGTGTTGCAAAATTCCTATGAAGCTGTCCATGTTTATTATGCAAATTCATAAAATACTTGTTAAATACTAGGTTTAATATCAGCAAAAGTCAAGAAAATATATTTAAGAGATGAATCAATTTGAGTGTGCTTTTTGGGGTGTGTGTGGTTTGTGTGCAGTTTTACTGGCATTAATCCAAACCGTGTATTAAGGTCAAAAAGACAATCCAAGGAAATAGACGCCAGTCAGCCCTGCTTCAGTTCCTGGGAAAATTATGCAGCAAATCTTGCTGTACATTCCTGTGTGCATGAAAGAAAAGCTGCCTGGGATCTGTCAGTATGGATCTACCAAGGCTAAATGGCACCCAACCAACTCCATTGTCTTCTGTGATACCTGAATTTGTAGATATCATTCATCTCAACTTGAGCAAGGCTTTCTACTTTTTATTCCCCACAACATTCCAGCATCCAACTTGGGATGTCACAGTCTGCATGGGCAAGTAGCTCATTGGATGATCAGACTTGGAGGGTAGCAGACAATGGGCCAGATTCTACATGGAGGCCAATAACAAGTGTATTACTGCTGGAATCTGTCCTGGGACATGTCCTGCTCCACGTGTCTGTCAGTAATATCTGTGCATGCTTGTTGAGCTCACAGATGGTGCCAAACTGGTGGGACCAGGTGATATACCCCTGAGGGTGAAGGCTGCCAACCAGCAGGACCTGGAACAGCTGGAGGAATGGGCTGGCAGGGACTGTGTGAAATCCAAAAGGACAAACAGAAAGCCCTGCCGGTGGGAAGGAACGGATTCTGTCAGCAATCCAGGCTGGGGAGCAGCTCTGCTGGAAAGGTCCTTGTGGGTTTTGAGGTCATAACCTGACCATGAGCCAGCAGTGCCCACTAGCAGCAAAGGTGGCCAACAACATCCTTGGCTGTATGAAACAGGAGCTCAGCTACTAGAGGGAAGTGATTGTGTCCTCAACATAAGAAGGACATCGAGCTGTTGGAGCAAGTCCAGAGGAGGGCCATGAGGATGATAAGAGGGCTGGAGCACCTCCCTTATGAAGACAGGCTGAAGAAGTTGGGGCTGTTCAGCCTGGAGAAGAGAAGACTGTGTGAAGACCTCACAGCAGCCTTCCAGTATCTGAAGGGGGCCTACAAGGATGCTGGGGAGGGACTCCTCATTAGGGACTGTAGTGGTAGGACAAGGGGTAATGGGTTTAAACTTAAACAGAAGAAGTTTAGATTAGATATAAGGAAGAAGTTCTTTACAGTGAGGGCGGTGAGGCATTGGAATGGGTTGCCCAAGGAAGTTGTGAATGCTCCAATCCTGGCGGTGTTCAAGGCCAGGCTGGAGAGAGCCTTGGGTGACATAGTTTAGTGTGTGGTGTCCCTGCTCATGGCAGGGGGGTTGGAACTAGATGATCTTAAGGTCCTTTCCAACCCTAACTATTCTATGATTCTATGATTCTTCTCCGTGAGTCACGTGTTAGACCCTTTTTAGGTACTGTGTCCAGTTCTGGGATCCCCCAGCATCAGAGAATTGTTGAGAATCACAGAATATGAAAGACACAGAATACGAAAGACCAACTGAAGTGAGTTCTGTAGAGGGCTACAAGGATGGTCAGCATGCTGGAGTACTTGTCCTCTGAGGACAGCCTAAGGAAACAGCAACTGTTCAGCCTATAGAAGATAAGACACCAAGAATAACACAACCCAAACACTCATAAGGAGATAATGAAGATGCTTTTAGAGGAAAATTTAGCAATTAGAGTTGTAGAGCTAGGTATCAGAGAAGTCAGAAGTCTGGCACAGACATTGGAAAGACAAGAGGGCACAAGAAGCTCCAAGGATTGGCTACTAGATAGATGAGCATCTGCAGCCAGTCATTGAAGGGATCCATATTCTACAGGCATGTACAGGTATGTATATATTCATGCCACTGCAGGCTTTCGTCCTGACCAGACAGAGAGGGGAAAAGAACCAGGTCTCTGGTGCTGTTTGTGTTCACATGGGTATTTTCAGTCTGTTTATCAGTATTGCTGCATGTGTGTGGTCCTAATGGAAACACATACCCACCCTGGCCACTGGTGGACTGCAACAGTCCTAACTCTACCAGATCAGCAGGTGTAGTGGCAACTCCTAAAATTTGTTATAACAAAATGAGATGCAAGAAATCCTGTATAAACCCACAGAATCATAGAATAGTTTGGGTTGGAAAGGACCTTAAAGCTCATCTATTTCCAACCCCACTGCCCCAGGCAGGGATACCTTTCACTAGAGCAGGTCGCTCCAAGCCCTGTCAAACCTGGCCTTGAATACTGCCAGGGATGGAGCAGCCACAGGTTCCCGGGGCACC